TTTTGGGAAACCCCCATATATATGTTCGTTATATTTTTCGAGAGTAGGCATGCCATGCCGCTGGGAGTGAGTGGAGGTGGGTGGAGGATGTGGCAAAAGTCGCGGAGTCCCGCGCGGCGCTGCAGCGCCGCCAAGAAGAAGGCCGCCCGAAGCATGCAGTGAGACCTGGATTGTTATATGGTTCAGAGGGATTAGAAGTGTTCCCCCTGATATCTCCTAGTAGTATCTCTGTATAGCCCCGATATACTATATGATAGTTCTATTAGGGCAGGAATGATACACCCGCCAGGACTGAAAGAAGAAAGCGACGAGGGCGGCGAGGTTCGTGGCAAAATCGCAGGGGGCAGTAGGGGTTGTACAGTGCTTTCTAGGGGTTATATAGGGATTNNTATAGGGGTTATAGCGATTATATAGGGGTTATAGGGTACATATTGGGGTTATAAAAGAACAATGGAAAAGAACGTGGAAACTACTCCATCATGATAGGGTAGTCGCCCATCAAAGATCTTCTTATTGCTCTGCCATCTAGCCATTTTAGCTTGCCATGTAAACTCGGCTGAGTGCTGTTGAAGACGCCTTGACTTGCTGGATGTTGTGCTTGGTTTCAGATTAAAATATGGCTCTGATTAATACTTACTACCCAAACTTTCTGGTCCTTAGTAGGGAATGAGAGTAAATTATGCAGGATTAAAAAGGAGTACTACACAGGGATCATATTCCCCTAATCCCGACTAAGAACCAGAAAGCTGAAGCTCAATCGCATGCAGCTTCTGGAGGAGTTGGAAGCACTTGCCAAGCCCAGTCCCAGCGCCATCAAGCCCTTCAGCAGCTCTGAGGCGGTCCTCTGATCTTAAGGTTTCAGGGTTTGCAGGGTTTAGGGTTTAGGGTTTGCAGTTGAGGGGACCTGCGTGTTAAAGGTTAAGGGATATGGGTTTCAAGATCCTATTCCTTGCGATGGTCTCTGCTAATATTTATTTGTGCAAGAGTAGTTGGCAATCATTGCCTGAAGTTAGAGAGTGAGAAAAATCAAAAATGCAAAGCAGAAAGGTGAGACTGCGTTTGCTCTCCTGGCCGCCCTTGTACATTATAGAGACTGCGAGTGCTGCTGCCAGCAAAATGGCAGGTTCCGGATGTGTACCACCGAAGCTTTGTTGCCTGGGCCGGCTTTCCACGAGCGGAAGAGATGCGGGAGCGCAGCTTTCACTGTCATAGCTGGAATGATGGTTTTTTGTATTGCACGTACGATCATAAACATAGTTTTAGGACACGCGCCTACCCTGCTTTTATGCAGGAGCCCCTGTTCTTTCACGAGTGGACGCTGTGGCTTGGCGGCCAACTTTCAGTTCTCAACTGGCGCTTGCTTGCGCGGCGGAAGGCCTGACACCATCAAATGTCACTGCTCAATGCGCTAGCTCAGCGACATGTCGCATGTAGCAATTGCGCTGCGCAGGGGGTGCAGCTGGAAGAAAGCACACCGGCAAGTCCAATGTCTCCACGATCTCAGCAGAGGCACGGAGCTGGAACGCGGCAAAACGTTGCAGGGGAATCCCTTAGGCTATAGAATTGCAGAAGCACGTGCCGCAGGGCCGCAGTGGAGGCACTGATTGCAGCCTTTGAGGCTGCCGGGCGGCCAGCGGTGGAGGCAAAGCTCTGAGCCTCGGAGCGTCTTTCGCACGGTGGTTTGCTTTGTGCTGGCATGAGTCGAGTGCACACGCTGCAGGAGCCCGAAGCGCAGGGGCGGCCTCTGCTCTCCGACGCGGAGGCTGTGCTCCAGCAGGCGCCGTTTCCGCAGAAATGAGTTCACTTGTGTCACGCTCCTACCCACCAGATGGCAAGGTCAGCCGAGAAGTGCCGGGGCTGAGAACCCGCTGAGCTCCAAAAAGGGCGAGCGTCGAGTGGCTGAAGAACTTGTCGCGAGAAGCTGCATGTTTCTATGCTTTTCTGCAGCATCGCTGCTTGCCAGGGCCCGCGGCCTGCAGCCGCCGGAGAGAGCTGTTGACGAGGACCTGACCTGCGGCTAGTCGTTTTCGCTTCATCTAAGGATTGCGGTTTATGCCTTTGGTTAGCTAGGAATGACGGAATGGACCAATATAGTAGTCCCTATGTAGCCCATTATAGAGTTTCCATTTTCTTTTCCTTCATTCCCAGCTAACCAAAGGCCAGTCATGCAAGCATAGGTCAACCAACCTGAAACCTTTGCAGGAGCTTGAGATCACTTTTGGTCACACTGGTGGACTTACGCTTCCCCAGTTTGGCCAGGGTGAAGCAAATACCGCAGGCTAATGCTTTCTTCCAAGGCTGCCGCGACGATTCGGAAGCCGTTGCCCGTGCCGTGGTGTGGCCTATTTCCTTCGCCAATCTTCGCACACGCTGACTTTAGTCTATTGCAGTTCCCTGGACACTTCGCTTGGAAAGTCTTTGATTGAATCGATCAGCTGCGAAGAGATAAATGACAGATTCCGCCTGCCCGCTCAACATGCAGCGAAATCAAAGCAGGCAAAGCTGAATTGTTTCAATGTACATGCCACAGGAGCAAAAGTCGCCAAGCCTCCTTCCAGTGCCTGCCGCGCAGCCCATTCCAAGCCGCGCCATGAATGCCTTTTTCAAACTAATTCTGTTAGGATTCAAGCATACCTCTCCGCAGCCATTGCAAGATGCCCAGCCATGTCGAAGTGATGAAGGGTTTATCTGGGATGCAGCACATGACCGCTTCTAACACTTCGGCAGCATGCTACCTATAGACAGCCAGCCCTTTGCAGCAACCTTAAACAGTTCTAACCTTGCAGAACGCTGACCCTTCTTCGAAATCACTTCAAGGAGGTGCTTTTCAAGCAGCAAATTTTTCAACATGGTCAGCGCCCCAGCTCAGGGAGTTTGAAGTTGGCTGCTCTGTTGTCCGCAGAGCTAACCTTATTGCGTGAAATGACTTGACATCAGCTTGCTGATCACCAGAATCTTCAAGTAGCCCTCAGATGTTTTCTGGGCGCTTGCTGCTTGAAGACCAGGATCCTCAGGCCCCCAACCTGTTACCAAGCCCTAAACCCTAGACCAGAAGCTCTAAACCCTAAACCCTAAGCCCCAAGCCTACACCCCCAGGATCTGAAGTAGTTTCAACCCATCATCCACCAGGTCACAAGTCGGCGTCGCCGTGGCCTTCTGGCCTGTGCCTTGGGTAAGGTAGGAACATCCCGGTCGTGTGCAGAGTTCCAGAATGGTTCTGGAAAAGTACGGCAAAGCAACCTGTTCCTTCGCTGCGCGCACATCCCTCAATCACACGGTGACAAGTTGCGGCAAACATTGGAATCTTGGACCCAAACCACAATACTCAGACTTGGAATCCGGCTCCTTCACCGGTGCACAGCCTCCAGCAAGAAACAGGTACCACTACTCAAAATCCAGCTTGAAGAGGTTGTCCCAAAGCAGCCTGCAGATCCAAAAGGTGCACGCAATAATTTGACAGTTGGATGACCAACACGGCTCAATCCAGAGTTTCGTCCAAGCGCATCTGATACACTGCGATTGCCACCCCGGGACTTACAACCCACCACGAATCAAACCTTCTTGTCAGTACTTGCAGAGCCCAGCTGGTGACAGAATGGCAAGACGAGGGATGCGAGCAGCAGGTTTGCAAATAATCATCAACTTAAGCTGCTTTGTTTTTATCGCTACTTTTACAGGCCTAGAGCTCCACCTATCTCAAGTTACCAGCTGCAAGAGCAGTTGTCCACCCAAATGTTCCCTATCATGTTCAATCTTCGCTGTTTTGAACTCGCCGTCATATCCGTGCTCCAGCTGTAGAGGGTCCTTGGTAGAAGGGAGAGCCTCAACTGCCTTGATGCCGGCGGTGGGATGCCGCTTCGGGGCGGCGGAGGTACAGGACGCCGGGCTCAACCGGTGGCAAGTGGGATTGCATTTGGCATTTGATTCCCCGCCCTGACCCTAAGCCCTAAACCTAAAACGGGCTCAGGAGAACAGGACCTGTTGTGTACTCTTGTCTTTGTGCACCTCATTTGGAGCCTGGCTTCGAAGAATTTCTGACCTTGGGTTGTATTTCTTCCCGAAACTGTGCGGCTGCCTATTGGGAATCATCATGTTTAGATTGCACATCCTCACGCCATGAGCGATAGTCGTGAGAATTGACCCAGAACCGAAAGCAATCATCTGGGCACTCTCCTGGTGTAAGGATGAGGCTCGCAGCGTGCAATTGAGTGGAAATCACGGGCTGCAAGGCTGCGAGGCGAAGGAATCTCACAAGCCAGTAGTTTCATCTCTACATGCCTGGAGCCTTAAGCTATACATTGACATTGGGACTGGCTGTTGTACCCCTGAAAACGAGTTGACGTTACCAGGCCACGTGCACTGAGGTGGTTTGTTGACTGACACCTGAATCTCAGCACTTGGGTATCTTTCCAACTTCAGCTCCCGTAATTGCATCCGAATTTACACCGCAATGTCTTCTGCACGTGGCATCAAAAAACAGCACACAACTAAAAGACAATGTCAATTGGGTAGTATCCAAAAACACGTGGCCCAAATATCGAGCCCAACATATTACAATCTTTCGTAGGGACCCCAATGTGGCACCAATTTTTGGAAGCCTCCAATCCCTGTAAGAATCCCTATATAAGCCCGCAGAGCTTCATGTACCCTAGAAAATCCTTAGATAATATTACCATCTTTCTTGTAGGGATCCCTGCTTCGCAGGAGAGGCCCGGTGAAGGCCGCAGCCTACGAGCTGCCCAGGTGTTGCAGACCGGTGAGGCAGGCCTGGAAGGGATGACGTAGGGATCATACAGGGATTATATAAAGTATTATATGAGGTTATGGGTTTAAGGCTTTGGGTTTAGGGTTTAGCGGTTATAGGGTGATTATATAGGGCTATTAAGGGTTACATAGGGTTATAAAGGGTAATATAGGGTTATATATAGGGGATCTAGGCCTTAAATCCTAAACCCTAAGAAAGCTTGGCAGGTTGCTCTGGTGTCCGAAGCCTTGGTAGTTGCTGGGCTGCTGTTAAGGAACTTGAATTACGTTACCATGATGGGTATATATATATATACATATATGGTTTAGGATTTGCGATTTAGGGTTCAGGTCTACCAATGGGTATATATAGTCATGAATTTGGTTTCCCCTATGTAGTAACTTAAATCAAGTTCCCTAACAGCAACCTAGGTTGGTGTCGGGCTGACCAGCGCAGCTCGTTGCTGCGCCCTTTGCCTGCGGCAAAGGCCGGTCCAGCTCTGCAGCAAGTGCGCTGCCTGGCTCCAACTCATGTGGGATAGGGGTTATGTCGGGATAATGGAAGAGAAAATGGAAACCACTACATTATATAGGGGTTATATAGGGGTTATATATGGAGTATTTTATTTGCGGATACTATGGTACCCTATGGTACCCAATATAGAGTAAGATCATGTCCTCTTTTTGGGTATAGTATCTTATATAAGGTGGTTCAACCACCAAGAAGACACTACTCAATGTGGGGGTGGTTCTCAAGGTCCTCGTAAAGACGGGACCAGCCTTAGGAAAAGCGGAACCTACCTTTTGGCCATTTTGAGCACAGGTATCTAGAAGAAATTGGGTTCTAACTACAGGTTGGGATGGTTGTAGACAGGCTTCCCCAGGAATATCGGTGAGTACTTAAGTGAGTGCCCATTTGGGGGGCCATTAATGTTGGACGATGGCCTCAGAGGGTATGCGGGTATAAAGCACTGCAGTTCTTGTGCAAGCATTTGTGTTTGCAGGCCCAGTCGAGATCCCATGAACACAACTACGGGTCCTTTTATATATGCGGCATGATGCAGAGCGCTTTTCTAGGATCCACCGAAGGTCTGCGTTTACAAGGCAAGCCCCCTTGCAAGGTGAGCTATGGCTACTGCAGTGATGCCTGCCGCCAGGCAGATGCACCGGACCACTCAAGGGCCATTTTGCTGCCCTTGGTTCCTTTTTTTGGCTCCTGTTACATTCTGTTACCATCATCCTGTCATGAACAGGAGTTCTGGTAATGAGTGCAAATCCGAGACGAATGCCATGCATGCAGATTTTCTGAAGCTGGAAATCAGGAATGCGCCGCCATACCGCTCCTCGTCAAGCAGCTGTGCGGATCTCAGCGAAAAGCTTCACATCCCTTTCGTTTTTGGAATCAGTGTGCCCGTCCTTCACCTTTTCATTTTCCTTAAGTTTGTGGAGTCAGAAAGAACATAGCCAGTTCAGAAAAGCAGAAACACAGAATTCCTTGGACACGTCGGTTTTGACAACCAACACGTATTGATTGCAGCATGGTGCCTATCGGTGGTACACGTGTTTGGCATGTGCCGCATGCTGTGGCAGTCATGCAAGAATCCACGACCAATTTAGTAGGAAATAGGGAATGCAATCCCTACACAATCCCTACATAATCCCCATATAATCCCTGTATGCTGCATTCCCTGAGCAAAAGGCCTGTGCAGAACGCCAACCCAGCAGCGGAGTCACCTTAACAGTTTCCAACGGAACCTAGACCTATAGGGGCTATATAGGGGTAATATAGGGATAATGGAAAAGAAACTGGAAGCTACTAAAATGGGTTATTTAGGGGCTATATAGGGGTAATATACTGATATCCTGAATCCAAAGCCCTACCAGGGGAAAACAAATTCTCTATACAATCCCTAAGCAGGACTCCCCATGATCCCTCTATAGTCTACAGTCCCTATGTATCCCTACCATATGCCCCACTGGGAATCTGCTTCCTGGGTTTCAAGGTCTGCCTGTGGAAGCCACGTTTGGCACCAGGGGGACGCCCTCTTGGACGCCTTGCTAGTGGCAAGGCTGATCCGTGCGGGGTGGGGGCCCTAGAGACCACAGCTGAAGTAGGGTTTCATCATGCTTCTTGGTGACTGAAGACGAATTCTACCATATCTCTCTTTCAAATATGCGGGGGGGGGGGAGTTCTCAAAGTGAGGGCGTGGCAGGAATCTGGGGATCTGTCAGGATTAGGATTGGATTGTGCGGTTTCTTGGTGATTAACTGCGAGTCTGCTGAGGTGTCTGATAAGAATCACGGCTGTCAACTCTAACCTCCAAATCCTTAGAGCGTAACATCCCAAACCCAGAACCACATAAGCCACCCAAAAGAAAAATCCTACATCTCTTAAACTAGCCCTTGTATAACCCCGGTTCCCATTTCATTTTCCGTTATCTTTTCACTTTTTCACCACTATTGGTAGATGTCCCTCAACCCTAAACAGCATTTTCCATTTTACTTTCCAGTATCCAGAAAAACATTGGGGTAATATCCCTTCGTAGCGCTATATACTCCTTTAAAGGGACCTAGGGTGTCCATTTCATGTTCCATCTGCTTTTCCATTTGATTCTCCACTAGTACCCTAAACCCTAAACCCTTAAACCCAAACCCTGAACCCCAAACCCTAAACCCGCCTTCGGATAGAAAAGGAGCGTTGCAACAAAAAACAACCCTAAACCCCAAACCCTAAAGCCTGAACCCAAAACCTTATACCCTAAACCCCAAAGCCTGAACCCAAAACCACCCAAACCCTAAGGCATCCACCGGGATCCTTGGCCGCAAGCCTGGCATCGCCTTTCCTTGGCCGGCCCAGGGCTTTGCAAGCCATGCTCCAGGCGCCTGCGCTATCCATCCCAGTGTCTGGGCCTGTAGGAACTTCAGGGTTTAGGGATTAAAAACACCCCTTTATTTGGGGTTTAGGGTTTAGGGTTTAGGCAAAGTTCAGGGTTAAGTTCAGGGGCTTGAAGGGCTGGGGCACTTTTAGGTTTCAGTTGAGGGTTTGCAGTTGAAGGTTGCGTGCGGGGCTGTCTTGGTTGCTGGGGATTTAAGTAGTAGAGCTCTAGCCAGTTTGCTTGCGGTGTCCAGGGTGCCTCCGGATGAGCTGTAGTCTAAACTCCTAGTATCCCCCTTAATAACCCCTGTAACTCTCCCCTATATAATCCCCTGTATAACCCCCTGAAGGAGTTTAGACTATAGCTGACATGGAGGGGTTCTAGGAAATGAGCAGGGTCCTACTGGTTAGTCAGAGCGGTACCTGTCATCCTAAAACAAGATTACTTTAATGACAGCATATGCGCATGAGCCAAAGTCAATATTAGCCTTACCAATGGTCCATTAAATTTTCCGTGCAATATTCGTCCCATTATCCCCCAGAGAATCCCAGGTTCATTTCATTTTCGATTTCTGCTGTATTCGATCTTCATTCTAGTAGTTTCCATAATATTGACTGTAGTTCACATGGTTTTAGGCCCCCTCGGCTGCCAAGTCCCAATGCTAAGGTGGCGATTGCGAAGACACTCTTGGATGTCGTGGCGGAGGTGCCCCAGCTGCTTCCGGAAAAGTTCAGGCGGGCCCAGCTGTACCAGGCACAGGCCCTGTTTTGAGTGATAAAGTTCCGCTGAACACTTTGGTCTGTCTTAAAGCCCGGCTAAACTTCTGCGAAGGCCAACCTGGAGACAGTTGTGGGCATTCTCATGCAGATGCAGTGCAACATGACTGGGATTGTTGAGCACACTCGCTTCGAGTCCGTCGGTTCCGGGGTATTTGCAGAAGGGTCCCTCGCAAATCATGACTGTGCGCCGACGTGTCAGTTTCTGTTCCGTTTCCCCGGAGAGGGGCATCGTCCAACCCTCCAGCTGCAATGCACGAGGGACCTGAACTTGGGTGAAAACCTTACCATTTCATATGGTGATATGGCTCGTCCCGTATGGGAGAGGCGCCGGCAGCTGCAGGCCTCCCATTGGTTCAGCTGCAAATGTGCGAAGTGTATGGAAGACCTGACCGCTGCTGGACTTCTCCGGCAGGTGCAGATGGTTGGCAATTCCCATGGTGAGCTTCTCTACGCGCTCTTCGAGAGGACGCTTCCAGACGAGGCTGAGGCGACCAAGATGCTGCAGGTCTTCAAGGCCATGAAGCTGCCATCTGCCGCTTCGGCTGCAGACGCTGCTGTACGCTCAGCCCTGGCCATGCTCACAAAGCTGGAGCTATTGGACCGGAATACCCGGGATGCCAGTATGAAGAACCGTGCTCGCAGCAACCTGCGGCTCATCCAGGGTGCTTCGCCCTTCTTTTAGTGTTCCCCTGTATGTTGTTTGTCTCTTCTTCGTGTCGTTTGTGTAAGGGTACATTATTGCCGTAGTAGTTTCTAGAGTTTCGATGCCGCTTCTGGAGTTAGTACTTGCTCTAGGATCCTGCTTACGTGAACTCTGTCTAGGCCATTTCTCACCATCAAGGTAGCGCGAGCACCTGCAGAAGCATCTGAATGACACAGGGTTCAGAGGCCCCATGCTTTTGAGAAGCCTCCCTCTTTCTCTGCATTTCATTCAAAGAGCAGCTTTTTCTTTCTCCTGGACTACAATATAGACTGATATACTATAAAGTACTATAATATACCATAATACATTACAATATACCAGAATATACTATCAAGGTGTGCTGGCCAAGATCCTGCAAGCAGTTCATGGTGATGCTGTGGTACTACAGGAGCTTGTTCTACTTGAAAACGGGTGTACCTTTTGGAAATCATGTAGGGGCTACATGGGGATTAGCGGGGATGCTCCAGAATGTAGGCATTTTGGGGTGTTAGAAATCCTGTTTGGGGATCCTTGTCTTGAGTTCTTCGCTGTTGAGGTATGCAAAGGGAGTCTTGCTGCCTTTTCTTGCGTTCGGAGCCCAATCCAAATCCAACCCAGAATATTTGTAATATTTGTTCTTCAAAACGCTTGGTGGGACAGCAGTATAAGTTGCGACGTCCATGTTCTAGGTAGGCGGGCACCCATGGACCACAGGACACCTCCAACAAGTTACCATTGCCGTAGTTACTAATCATGATTCCCCCAGCCCCATAACACTAAAATATTCCCACGGCATACAAATACAAGTATTACAGTATCATATGAGCCACAATCTAAACTCCATAAAGGGGATTATTATAAGGGTTATTAAGGGGGATACTAGGAGTTTAGACTATGGCTCATATTTCAGTTTTTGCTACGATTATGCGTCCCTACAGGAGCTCCAGAACCTGGCTCTATCCACAGCTGAGATGGCCGAGGAGCCCAAAGTCGTGGTGGAGATGGCGGGGAGCCTCCTCGACCGCTGCCAGCGCTGCTACGGGTTTTTGCACCTGAAGAGGCTGGGGCTAGTGGGAAGTGTGCTCCCCGTAAAATCAGGTAGACTTTAGAAAACATGAACTCGTGACATGAGGTTTCCTCAAAATGGAGACCAATAGGGAGCTTTCTGGGTCGGTGAGTGAACCCTGGATGAGGTGCTTCCTACTCAAGGCACAGCTTGCTGCATACCAGGCCCTTGCAAGGCACTCCGACAGCAACCAAGCAGCGAAGGACTTGCAGGAGCTTCGGACCAAACTAGGCATCGACGAGCCGGATGAGGGCTGCCCGACACCGGTTTCAGCTACTGAGCTTTCAGTTTGTCATCTGGATACCATGGACTAGATGGCATTTACTGGCATTTCGACTTGCAGGGCTTATGTGCTTGCAGATCAGATGTACATTGATCTACATGGGTAAGGCAAGGCTTTCCCTTCTTTCAGCAGGCTCTAGGCTACCAGAGCATCGCAAAGCTTTCCAACCCACTCACCACGTCCTGATGCTTGGAGTCGTCGCGCTGCTTTCTGTGCGCGAGAAGTTCTCGCCCGAAGCGTTGCAACATCCGAGTGCTCAGCATCAATGATGACCATCGCCGACCCGTGTCGACGCCAACTGGAGGTTGATGATCAATAACGACAGTATTTGGATGAATCCCACGTCTGTCCGGCGCGATGAAGGCGGCCTCTGGATGGGACTATTGGCGTGGCAGCGGCAAAGATCCGCAGAACGCAGCAATGCATGAGGACTTCCAAGGATTAATCGGGGCGTGATGATCTCGATCTCGAGAAACCCAACATTTTCCTCCGATGCTCAGTGCCTGTAAGCTCTACTGCCGCATGTACAAGCATCCGCTGCAGGTGTGTCTGTGTGCCTCCTTCGTCATTGCGGCCCTATGTCGCAGAGGCAGGAATCACGGTAGCTGTAGTTTTTCAGGGAGAGAATGCAGGGCATGTCTCCGGTGGGATCCGGATCCGATGATTCTGTGGCATAAGGGAATTGAGTTGGAGAAATGCCCAACCGTACATGTCGTTTGGCCTTTGGCTCATGCTCTGCTGACATATCCTTGGCAGCTTTCCAAGCATTTGTGCAAATGAAGCTTCTGGGTTGCAACTGTCCTCTTGACAAACGACCGAGCACAGCAGCAACGACCTTGTTAGCAGCAGCTGCTCCACCAACTCGTGCATTTTTTGCCAGGACTCCTGCCATGTGTGCTGTGTGACTGTGTTGAGTTGGAGCCCCTCATGACGCAGCCTGAGCGCAATGTGAGACCTCAAGTTGGAGACAAACTTGAGGTAGAGCTTGACGGTTGGAGACTTGGAAGTGTTGCACGAGACAACGGCAACCACACGTTCGACATTGATTTCGGTGACGGGTACGGAAGGCTGTGTGTCAATGTTCCCAGGGACTGCATTTGCACAATCAACGAGCAGAGCAACCCCGGCCGGGGCCTTGTTGCTGGACAGCTTGTCAGGTCAGTGGAGTTCGAGAGTGCAACGTTCGTTGCTGAAAACGAAGATGGCACCTACCGTGTGCGGGTGAGCGGGGAGCAAGAGGACTGTGATGTCGAAATTGAGTTTGTGAGGTCGCAGGGAGGTGCTTGTGCACCTGCAACTGACCAGGCCTGCCCTGAGCCAGCGCCCAAAAGGAGGTGTACAGAGTGTCAGTATGGGGTCGCTGATGGTTTTTTTGCTACGATGATGTTCGAGAAGAGGAGCGTTGGATCACTGGTGCGGTCCTTCCTTTGTCCATTTGACGTGTGCTACTCAAACTTCAAGCACTCAAGCTTCAGATCTGACGCGATGTTCCGCTTCTTCCACTTGAGATCTGTCTGCCGAGCTTGGCAAAAAGCCATGCATCAGCAGCTCTTCCCCTGCCTTGATGCCGCGTGGATGGCCAAGGAGAAGGCCAAGCTCAAGGAGAGGGCAGAACTCCAGGAGCCGAGGGATGCAACAACTGCTTCGCGGTCAATGGGTTTCCATGACAGGAAGCAGCCAGACCCACACAATGCAGGTGCTAAGCGTTTTCTCGATGAACAAGTTCGAGCAGGCTTGAACCAATTTAGCGGCAATCTGGGATTCCAGCATGGTCGCCCTATGCACCGATCCCTTCATGTGAGTGGAGCTTGGGATTCACGTTTCAATGGCCAGTACACGTGCTCAGGATTTCACAGCAACGTGTTCCGCAACCGTCTGACAGGCGCAGTCATCTACCATTCAGGTGGGTCATGCGCATGTCCAGATGGAACGAAGGGTCACGCAACGCGGTACTGCAGTGGAAAGTGGATGATGTGCATGGACAAGTCTAGCCAAATGGTCAGCATGTCCAATTTAGAGAACATCAATGGCAAATTCCAAGTCGTCGATTTTGTTAACGGCCACAACAAGTACATCAACAACCATGGTGCTGTGATGTATTGGAGCAATCATCAGTGGCACATCAAATTGACGGATTCCTCACCAGAATCGCTATACACATGCCAAGGATCAAGTGACTTAGCCCACAGCGCTCCTCGTGGAGTGTGGCGTGCCTGGTTAACTCCGGATGGCTCCCACTGCTGGGTAGAATCCCTGCGTGATGACTGTGCCTTCTCGACCAGCTCTACGAGAAACGCAAGCAATGGTCCGGCTACGCTGCCACCACTGGATGGGAGCTGGTGTTCTCTTTTGGAAAAGGATTGTCACATTGTTGTCCAGGAGCCCGGACCCATGACTCCATCCTTGACTAGCATTCGCAATGGCCTCTGGGCGAAGCATGATGAAACTCGCTGTGCGGCCTTGCGCTGTCTGCCCAAGCTCCACTCTGATGAGAACATATTCAAAGAAGTCGTCGCACACATGTCCCATGCAAGTGGCGAAGTGCGAAACACTGCGATCTCTATCATATCTGACCTTGCGACAGCGGAACTCACAGCAAAGTACAAGTTGGTCACCCTGCTTACGAAGTGCTGTCTGCAGCGACGTGACATCGATGTGACTTGTGGTTTTGGTTCAGATTCTCGGAGCACGGCTCTTGATTGCATTGTCAAACTAGCGGGCCAAGGCTTTGTGCCAAAGCATGTGATCCTGACACTGCTATGCCAAGTGTGTGAGAAGTCTCCGAGCATGCATGAAAGGATTTTGCAGTATATGCCGCAGATCGCCCAGAGAGGCGACGAGAAAGCCAGAGACAGCATTCTGCACATCTTGGAAGTTGCCAAAGGCGTGGAAAAGAAAGGATGTGCGTTGAAGGCGCTGTCGCGCATTGCTAGCAGAGGTGATTCTAAAGCGATGGCAGCAATCCTCCCTTTCTGTGGTGGCAGATCTCGGATTTCCATCTGGAGCGGCAGGTCAGACCGCAGTGAAGAAGTGCGAAGTGATGCAATCCAGACGCTGGGCGAACTCTGTGAAGCGACTGATGAGGCCGCTGTTCGCCTCATCATCGAAGGTTTGGGTGATCAGTGGGCTTGTGTCATAAGTGCCGCTGACACAGCTGTGCGCGCAGTGGCCGCACGAGGTACAGAAGCCCTGAAGGTCGTTGTACGTGAGTTCCTTGAGCATAAGGACTGCCGCGTCAGACGGAGGGCTTTTTCTCTAGCGAGGCAATACATTGGCTTGGCTGATTCGGACATCCGATCTTGCTTGCTGAAGGCACTTATTGATGCTGATGCAGATGTTCGGCTGGGTTGCATTCAGGCTGTGACACGGGCGGTGAATGACGCGGAGCCGCGCTTTCGACGAGCAGTGCTCGGCATGCTCAGCGACAAGTCCGTATTTGTGCGGTTTGCTGCTGTTGCAGCCACGGTGCGGATCTGCGACAGGCAGGATCAAAAAGCCGCGGTGGCGATAAAGCAGCGACTACAAGACCGGGAATCAGCTGTTCGAATACAAGCCATCAAGGGTCTGTGCGTCCTGGAGATGCTGAAGCATCCAGACACCTATCCAGCCATTCTTTCGCGTCTCGATGATGAGTGTCTGGGAGTTCGGCATGCAGCAGCATCCTTTTTGGGCGCAAAGTGGTGGCCATCACCCTGCATGTGCGACTTCTGCTGCGACAATGTATTTGAGAGTGAGGAACAAACCAGCAACAAGGTGGAGGGCATGCAGGGTGACCTGCGTACGTTCATGGAATACTACAAAGGTAGATACATACACAACGAGATTGACGATGCAACAATACAGTTGGTGCCAAAGGTGAATTCCGAGCACCTGATGTTTGTGGACACAGAATCTCTGGAAGCTCTCCGTAAGGCCGTGGACGACGGCAGTGACGTCCCTCGTGATCTCATCCAAAGAGGGTTTTGGGATGCGCGCCGTTTGCCAGATTTCCGTCGCCTCGTTGCCGTGGACATGCGGGCAGTTGATCGAAGCATATCGTGCAAGAATTGGGAGCCTGCAACATTGGGTCATGCTCTGGTACAAGCCCGAGACTTGTTCCGGGTATGCCACGCAAGCGACGCAACCAGCAGCCAGAATAATTGGGACATTAGTCCTCTTGAGCTCAGAGAAATGGCAGGAGAGGTGGTTGGACAAGAAAAGTTTGAAGGAGAGGATCTTGAAGTTGTCGAGATATTGGCTGAAGAGCTTGGAGAGGAGGAAATACCAGATGAATATGACATAGATGAGGATGACATAGATGTTGTTGACGTAGACTTGTCAATGCAAGACGACGACGAAGGGAATTTATCAGATTCCTCATGAAAGCAATCCCGCAGCTCAGCTCGGGAAGCTTTGAGCATGACATCACCTTCCAAGCATCTGGCAGCCACAAGAGACACAAAAGGCATTTTTTGTGTTTAAAGCTTGTAGCTCTTTTTTGAAGGCGAGAAAGCAGGGTAAACTTGCAGTTGGAATTGACAGCCCGAAAACCTGTCAATTTGGATGCGCCGGACCTCATTGTGACTTGAGCTCAACATGTGGACTTTCTTAAGGTAAGAGCTCCTCCCACTGCCAAGGGTCCTCATGTGTTGTTGTACTGGTACACAGCAAGGGGTGACGAATCTCAAAAGAATTGTGGCTTCCTGAATCAGGCCGCTGGCAGAAAGCCGAAAGTGCATACCACCCTGCACAAGTTTCGTTTCAAACTGAGAGAAGGTACCACTGAATGAAGCAACGCAGCGCAGATGACGCTACGCTTGCTTGCAGCCGTCGGGTTTTGTCGAGTGTTCGACACGGAGAACCGCACAAACCCAAGAAAGTGCTTCCAGAACCAGCTGTTTCGGGATTCTTCTTAAGGAGCTTAACCTAAGTTACTACAGTAAGTAAGGAATCCTTACAGCATTATTTGCTAAACACGCATATTATGGTAGTTCAAATCCTAAACCCTATATACCCATATTCTGGCCAATTAATTCAAGTCCTTTAAAAGCAACCCAGTTTTGTCTTGGCCGTTCAGGCTTGGCCTGGCTTGAAGCCGGCAAGGGCAGCAGCCCACCGTATGGGCCTCAGCCTTTTTTGCCCTTCTTGCGGCGGACCTGGATCTAAAGGTTACAAAGGGGTTACTTAGGGGTTATGTGGGGGTTCTATAGGGTTATTTAGGGGCTATACAGGGATTATTTAGGGGTCTATAGGTCCAAAAAGGGTACTATAGGGTTGTTTCCGGGTAATTATTCAGCCCCTGAGGCCTAAGGCCTCATTGGTTATGGTTAGGACATGTTCTTAGGCTCCTGAAGTTGGATAGGTTTAGGGTTTGGGGTTTAGGGTTTAGGGTTTAGGGGTTATGTAGGGGATAAGGGAAAAGAACATGGAATTTATTATTTAGGAGCTCTATGGGGGATAATGGAAAAGATAATGGGAACTATTATTTAGGGGTTACATAGGGGATAAGGGAAAAAATGGAAACTATCGTTTAGGGGTTATGTAGGGGATGATGGAAAAGAACATGGAAGCTACTATTTAGGGGTTATACAGGGGATAGTGGAAAAGAACATGGAAACTACTATTTAGGGTTTAGGGTTTCTGAGTCACAGGCGCTTAGCTGTTCTGGGGGACATTGTCTTGTTCTCTGGTTGTTTGGCTACGGGCTTCGCCCTAGTACGGGAGTCGAACCTACTGCCATGTCCATTCTACGGGAGGGACATCACAGGGGTTTGGGTATTTTGGGTTTTGGGTGTGCAAGAATGCGTGGAACATGCCCAGACCACCCGGTTTGATTCATGAATGTTGCCAACATGGCAGCGCAAGGCACGACGCATCGGCTACAGGGCGACGCATACTGCTGCAGGAAGGGTTTCTCTTGACGAAGATGTTTATGCGAAGACATCTTGCCAATTGGCAGTCTCAATTATTAACAGAACACGATGAATCACGACTGAGAAGTGCGATGAAGTTAAGTGCGCCAATGCAAGTCATGGACATATCCTGCAGCACGGTCAACCCGCAATTGCTCTCTGTTTCTCATTCGAGCTCGCATTACCGTTGCTAGCTCATTTTTTTTTTGGTCTCTGGAGCTTCATCTTTCAGCTCTCTAGATGGTATATGCGTGCACACACGAGAATGAAGTACGTAAATGAAGGAATTGTCGTATACTGTACACGGACAACGTACCGGCAAATGTAGATGGGTAGCATACCATTCTACACCCTGTCCGGGGTCGTTGAGGAGTCCGCCGCTGCAGCAACGGCCGCCATGTGGCTGATGCCACAGGAGGCTGAAGCCTTCAGGTGCGCAGTGAAATGCATGAACAATCATTGCAGCATGTGATCGGGGTCAGACAGTGCCTGTTGGAGTCGGAGTGGCAGTAGCAGAAGCAAAAAGAGGGTTGTTCTGCCGCTCGGCGGCGCTTTGCTATGGGCGCAACATGTGCAAGGTTTGCGTTGTGCTGTTTTGGGTTATGTCTGTCTGAAGCCACATGTTGCTGATGCCCTCTTCAGGCAAGATCGGATTTTCAACGCCAAGCAGACGCTAGTGCCGAAGATTCGCCGCTGGCTCGCGCTGAGTTCAGATCCTTCTGCTCCCCATTCACTTGCTTACTTGTTCTTAGTAGGGAATACGGGAATATGATCCCTACATATTCCCTAAATAGCGTTATATTGGGGTTATAGTAGGGAATAGGGGAATACACGATGTAGGGGTTATATAGGGTTTGTATTCCCTTCTTCCCTACCCAGAACCAGCAAGCCTCTCTGCGGCTCCGGGTGATCCCTAACATCCAGACTTGCGGCTCAGGAAAGTATTATCAAAAGCTTGAAGGCCTGGACCAGCAGCCTATCCAAGGGTCTCTCTACATATCTATGTTTAAATAATATGTTACCATATAGATAAATAAGAGATATATATATAAATATACATCCGCATTAGACTGACCTAAACATTAAGAGCCTCCGGCTCAGTCTGCCGACTCAGAGGCGGAGAAGCCACGAACGCAACGACGGCAGCAACCCTAAACCCTAAGCCCTATAAACCCTGAATCCTAAACCCTAAACCTTGATGTTTGCAGCGGCTGGCACGAGACTAATCGGCGCAACAAGATTTATTCAAGCTAGGCTGCCAGGACTCCGGCAGCCTTGCTGTTTACAGTGGCTGCGCACGAAACCAATCGGAACCAGGTTGGACTATAAACTGTTATTATTATTATTACTATTCCTAGTATTATTACCATTACTATTACTACTACATTACTCTACTATTATTACTATTATTAATAGTATTATTAATCGTATTCTGTGCCCCATGCACGCTGGGGTCCATTGTTGCAGACGGGTCCAGGCCTTGATGGGCGCTGGAGCGCCATGGCCCAGACCTGTTTCAGGGGGGTTCTGGTGCCCGGGCCCCTAGGGCCCTAAGGTCTGGGCCTTTGGGCTATAAGGAAGTTTCCCAAAATACAGGGACCCTAATATAGACCCTAATATACTATAATCCTTATTATAAGGACCCCCAAAATGGTACCCTTAATTTTGGGAAACACCCATAAGGGAAAAAAGACATGGTTTTCACCCTCTCTTTCTCCTGAAACCATCCAACACGCCTTTCAGAGGTCGGCGGATACCAAGAAAAGAGAATCAATTGGAACAGAACACGAACACTGAAATGGACACCAATGTTTTGGGGCTTTGGGTTCTTGCCACTTGCCAACATCAAAGATGCAATTCCATGATTTGGGCTCCTCTGAAAAATATGTAGTATTGCGTTTGAGGGGGTTGGATGGAGTTGAAGATGCAACCAATGAATGTGGCAGGAATCTATTTTAGGGGTGTCCAATCCACAAACCCTAAACCCTCAATGAGGCAGGTTTGCAGGCAGATACTTCGTGGAGCATCGAGGATTGAAGCTTGGAACATGGTTGCAGGCAGAAATTTTGGGTCGCGGGAGTTACAAAATGAAGGCCCCCGCCAATGGCCAAAGGGATTCAACTTTACATGCCCCAACCCACCAGTGATTCAGCTTGATGTAGGCCTGCCAGCGGCTTGCTGCAGCTTTCACGGGTTGCTATGGGTGAGCGCAGCCTGCATCGTGTTTTCCTGGGGTGCGACTCCGAATCAGACGGCCAAGAGGATTGGCAGGATCGGATTAGAAATGCTGATGCAGAGGAGAAACATGGGAGCCTGAATCATTTTAAACATTACACTCAAACTCTTGCATATTCCTTAGTAAGGCTGCGCTACAAGCCACCCCAAGAACTCGATTCTGGTTTCCCAACCAGTGATCCGTGTAACCCAAAACCTTGAAACGTCCTGAAAAGATTGCCCGTAAAGAACAAACCCCAAAGCCAAACCCTGAACCCTAAACCCTTAATCTTGAACTTTACACCCTTTACCCCTCTGCTTTACTCTGGGAGGCTTGCGTGATGATATTCTTCTCCAAGTCGAGTTGGAAGTCTTTGCCTCACTGGGAAACTTTACAGGGATTTTAGGGAACACACTCAGCATTAATCATTAGGGTTACTACGGGACCCTGAGGGTAGACATAGGGATCCTTGTGGTAGTTTAATATAGTCCCTAATAGACTGTGCTGATAAATAGTGACTATAGCTCATATGGGACAATTGGGAGCATGTGGGGTTTAGAGTTTGAATCTGCGTTGTTCAGGGTCTCTGTCCCCGCTCCAAGATCTAGGTTCACCACGTATAATATCTCGCCCCCCTGGTTCCGACGCACGTGCATCTCAACTTCTCTGCATGCACGTAGTGGTGCGCCAGTTAAGCTACCCTGGCCTGAGGCGGGAAATCGCATGGAGTTCAGGGTGCGCATCTCAAACCACGTGTGCTGCGCCATGATGGCACCAGGTGCCAGGTCGGTCATTTTCGATAAAGGTTTGTCTTGCAGGACTCGCAGCATTTTGGGATACCAACGCGGGAAACAAACCTTCAGAGCGATTTCCTTATAGATCAGTAGATACGGGTCCTTGTATTCGGGTTCCCCCTGCCCTCGCAGGGGTCCGTCTATGGATTGCTTCATCTGGGAATGATAATTTTGGCAGAGCCGTTTCAGCAAAGGCATAGGTGCAAGCACTCACAATTTCTTTGAGGCTCGCCCAGCTGACTGGTTCTCCGGTGTGGACAACAAGTTCGATGGGCGACTTGCTTGCATGTCTATTGGGGAGTTTAGCAAAACATAAGGTTGGGGTCTAGAACGTCAACGTCGCTGTTGTCGCCGTTGTGGTGGTGTTGGCGGTGTCGTCGTCGCGCCGGAGCACTGGCGGCAGCAGGAGGAGGAGGAATAGCAGCAGCTATAGCAGTGCTGTAACAGTAGCAATAGCAATAGCCATGGCATTAGCAAGAGTAAGCGCACTAGCAACAGCAGTATAGCGGCCGCAGTAGTGCCCTAGGCCCTGAATCCGTAAACCCTGAAGCAGTACAAAGCCTAGACCCTTAAATCCCAAACTTAGGGCCAAGCATGCCAAGGGCGTTTAAGACGCCGGGGCAGCTGCAAGCGAAGTTCGGCTGCAATCCATACACCGTGGAGGCATGCTGTTGGGTTTATATAATATGGGCCCCTAGGTCTTTTGAGGGGGCTCTGGGGACCCTCAAGGGTACATATAGGGTATACAGTAGGTATAAGTATCCCAGGCTTAAGGGCATACGAGGGGCCCATGATTTGATCAAGGGTGAGCGGACCTTCGAGCCACGATTAGGGTTAGGCTTCACAAATGCCCGGAATGATTGCTTGAACCACACCAAACAAATTCACCTAGATGACATTAAAGATAGAGTTGCATGATATTGTGTACATATGTATGTTTCGAGATGCCTACGGGGACATGTATGTAGTTCCATGTCACTATCGACTCTTGGGAGGCTGGCAGCATTGCCCTAGTGGCCAGAGGAATCTGCACCTTTGAGCAAAAGGCCTGGGCAGGAGGGCTTCTGTTAGCTACACGGTTCCTGAAAATAACTATTAATTTCTGTTACCAACAATCCTATTATTTAGCTGAAATTAAAAGTTCTACTGGGGTTCCAAATCCCTTGGAGTTAGGGCTGTACCGCGATTTTGTGTGGTCCTTTGGCAGGTACAGAAGAGTTATTTTGGGATACATGTATATAAGGTGTAAAGCTCTGTTGGGAGCATATAGGAATATTCCAGGCATGAGGAGGGGATCCTCAAAGTACGCATCTCTTTTGTGTTTCCGATTCTGAGAAATACCTATGTGGGCTCGAGATCTCGTTGGCGATATGGAGGGGTAGATCTAGGTCCTTACAAGAAGACCTTGGTATAAATCTGAAGAAGCATGACCTTGAATCTGATCTAACTCCTCAACCCTATAAGCCTGAGAAGCCCCGAACTCCTGACCAAAAACTGGAGTGGGTTGTGGATGTTGTGTATGTATCTTTGATACGTCTTGCATAGGAACACGAAATACCCTAAGCCCTAAACCCTAAGCCCTGGTGCGTGATGTAGCAACACAAACTGAGTGACAGGCGTATCAGCAGTTTTCAGTGCTTGCAAGGGTCGTGATGCATGAACATGTCACGTCCTGCCTGAAGCATTTCCAGTTTCCTCAACCAAAGCAGTGCCTCGTGCAGACGTAAAAGTCCCCTGGTTGTAAAACAAACCCTAAACTCTGAAATACTAAACCTACACCCTAAACACTAAACCCTAAACCCTGAAATACCCTAAGCCCTAAACCCAACCGAGTGTAGTGTGGCAAGAGCCGCCGTGCAGGTGAAGATGGCAAAGGCGGCAGGCACGACCCTGAGATTTGAGGGGGTTTCCTAAAATTAGGGGTACCATTTTGGGGTCCCTATAATATGGACTATAGTATTTTAGGGTGTATATTGGGGTCCCCCTACTTAGGGAAAGTACCAAATAGGGTTGAGGGTTTTGGGGGTTTAGGGTTGGGCTTTAGGCTTGCAGGGTTTTAGGGTTGTAGGATGTGGTGGGTTTTTTTGGGTTGCAGGGTTTTTGGGGATGTTGGGTGTAGGGCTTTAGGATTTGAGGGTTTCAAGCTTAGGCAAGGTCATCAAAAAGGACCGCTGCAATCTACCCAGAATCCGATTCAGGACCCTAAGCCCTAAACCCTAAACCCCACTTCGCCGCCCAGGTGCCAAGGCCATTATCGTCTACGACGAGAAGATGTCCAAGGCTCCGCTAGAGCAGCAAAACAAGCCCGCGCCCCAGAAAGGAGGTTGGGGTTGTAGTTGTAGGGTTTGTTGTTTGGGGGTTCAGGGTTGGGCCAATCTCCCAACCCAGTACTGGGTACCACAAGGGATCCTCGCAGGTAGAAATAAGGCCAAATCAACCTCAGATTAAGGAGCTACGGTACAAATTGACCTGAGGTGGTTGTAAGTGTAGCGTTTAGGGGACAAGTAGGGCTTAGGTATCAGGGTAGTTCTTCAGAAGGGTAGCAGGGTTGAAAGCGCAAGTATGATACGTGATACCCAAGAGCGACACTTTGGTCGTGTAGGCTCTTTTAGGCATAGTCCTTGTGCCGCCTTGAGCTGGTAGCATCCTTGCTATGAAAACGGCTGAGCCTGCCTCTGGGTTAACGGCAATCTCTTCCCGAGCGGAACTTGTCGCGGCATGCCTGGCGAAGACTGCTAGGGCAAAACGGATAGCACAAATATGAGGATGTGCAGAGCAAAGTGAGTAATCAGACGCTTACATGTAGGTCTCCATCCTACTATAGCTCCTATCCCCTTCGGACTCATTTTCATCTTTCTTGTAGTTTTACCCCAAGGAGCCACGAAAAGCAATACTCTTGTTATAGTTCTGAAGGGTTTCCAGATGGGCCAAGGATCAGAGTCGGATCTCTTTCCATGTATCCGTCTTACAATGTGAGGCAGTGAGGATCCTAAGAGAAGTCCCCATCGTTTCCGGGGATGGTAAGGACGCTGCATCCAACATAAGGATTTTCTTGACCCAACAAGAACATATGGAATCTGTATCAGTAGCTATCAAGACGTTTACAAACTGTGCTAGACCGAATCTTCGGGAACGATTAACATTGGACCTACTCAGGGGGCCACTATGTGGATCCCCAGGAATGCCCTCATAATCCGTATGGCCCTGATCCCCCAGATCATGAGTGAGAGTTTCTGAATACCATCCCTACATGATATATTCGAAGCGAACCCAACCCTCCAACCTTTTTTCATGGCACCCAAGGCCAAGGCCTTAAGCCCTATACCCTAAGCCTGAAATTGCTTGTTCTAGCACAACTTAAGTCTAAACCCTGAACCCTAAACCCCCCCATAATCGCAGTGCAGAGTCAATGTCAAGGACTGGGCGAGTGGCAAGCAAAGGGATTCAGTCTTGGCAGGTACAACAGTTTGGGTGCCTAGGGTTGTAATGTAACACATACTTGGGGGTTCAGGGGAACTTAAAATGTAGGTTAATAATGGGGAAAATTGGGGTTACTATATGGGTACAGGGGTTAGTAACCCACTTACTGAGTCCCCCTGACTCTCCAATTAGGGAAACATAGGCGTATATAGCGACATGATGTAGGGATTCATAGAAGGATGCATACTGTCATAGAAGGATACATAGGGTTGCGTAGGGCGGCCCCTTCTATGGGTAAATAACACCAACCTTTGTTTCTGGAGCTCCTCAACGGGTTTCGGTTAGGTTTTATCAAAGTGGAGGCCGTTTTATGGGGATTGTCCTGTAGAACCCATTATAGGAGTTTCCATGTTATTTTCCTGCATCCCAATATAACTGCAACGGGGACCAGATCATTCTGAAAGTCTGTAGCAGGGTCCCAATGTTGAGTATGCACAGGTGTATCTGGAAGGCGTCATATTGTCTATTGGTGAAAGGCATGGATGGGGAGGGAGGAGCCATGGTCTGATTTTGTCTGATTTCGTGAAGGAGGAAGGCATGGGAATCCTAACAGGGCTCACTGGGACTGAGTGACTTTGTGTGTCTAGTTTTGCTTTGAAGGTCATCTGCTTGAAGGAGGGCTTGGTCGTGGTTCATCCCTTCAACTCATACTTCTTGGAAAGGCAACCTGAAAGGGAAACTTAATTTCGAGCAGGTGGTGATAACCTCTATGTGATCCTTACGTTCCCAAAGAAGTGGGCAACCACCAGTCCAAGCTCTGTCTGCTTCTCCCATAGCGAAATCCGCAAGCTCAAGAAAGACATTCCCATCCACCTGCGTATGTCACGTAAAGACTTGAACATGCTAACGAGCCTCTTGAGCAGCCTCTAAAGAGTAAACTCTAAGCTCTAAATCTGAACCCTAAGCCCTGAACTCACTGAAGACAGAGAAGGTGCGACAACAAAAGACCCTGCCCCCTTAATCCCTAAATCCCAATCCCGAAGCCCCTTGTGGACCTAGGGGGCACCCCCCCCTTTAAGTCGATAGGACATGGAATTGCCCAATATGGTAATATCATCTTCATGTACCCCCAAACCCCTAAACCCTAGATCCAAAACCTTACACCCTAAACCGCTAAACCTTAAATCCTAAAGCTGCAACCCTGAAAACCCTAAACCCCTAAACCCTTAAACTCTAAACCCCTAAACCCCTAAACCCCTAAACCCTAAATCCCTAAACCCTAACCCTACACCTGAAACCCTAAAGCTTAGATACACCATAGCCCACACAGCCTGCGCGCTTTTTCGTGTCAGGCCGGAGATGCACTCAGCGGGGTTTGCCTGGCTTGTTTTCTGACTGGTGGATCTTAGTAGGGTTTAGGGTTTAGGGATTACGGGTTTAGGGTTTATGGTTTAGGTGATTGGTTCTTAGTGGGGAATAAGGGGAATGTATCATTGGGTTTATTAGGGTTTAGGGTGTCGGGTTTGGAGTGAGAAGGGAATAAGGGAAATATATTGGGGTTATTTAGGGATAGTGGAAAAGCTACTAGATTACAATAGGATAGATATTAGGGTTATAGTAGCGAATAACGGAATATACTATATAGGGATCATATTCCCTTATCCCCACTAAGAACCTGCAAGTTTTCGCGTAGTACACCTACAGGGTGGTGACAATTCTTTGCGTTTACGTAGAGATTACATGCAGTAGGGAAACTTTGAGGCTTACAGTCAAGACGGCGGCTTAGATTTGGGATGGTAATTGTGGATCATGCGATTTTTGTCGGGCCAGAAGGGACAGATTGTAATTGTTGGGGTGGTGTGGAAAAGATTGCAAGTGGTAGGCTTCCTTCAAGTCGGCGCTTCCCTGAAATTGCCTGCTTACTGTTAGATGACTTTGACGGGTCATCTCTGATGATCTTGACTGGTCATCTCTGCGATCAGCTCCGGCTGCAAGCAAGTTCTGACGCAATGCTATTCGCTCTACCTGAATTTTGTCTTGTGATGACTCGTTTCGGCCATCTGAACGTTGAGTACGTAAATGCTGTGAACTCAAGTTTGTGTAAGTCATGACAGGGCGCGACTATACCTGTGGAGAAGGGCATGACTATCATGAGACCCGGACTCAGCAACAGGACTCCGGACCAAGCAGGTGACTGTTTGAAAATGGCAGGCGCTTCGCAAGATGATCAACTCAACGGCGGTCAGTAGGGAAGAAGGGAATATAATCCCTATGTAACCCCTATATAACATATTCCCTTATTCTCTACTATGTCCCCAATATATACCCTTACTTTAATGGAGTAGTTTCCACTTTCCTTTCCATTATCCCCATATATATGCCTTCCTTCATATGATGGTTTCTATTTTCTTGTCCAATATCCCTATATGTTATATTCCCTTATTCCGTACTCTCCGCTAGGAAGTCAAGCTTCACACTGGAAGCTGCAGCAGTGTGAGGCTTCGAGCAGGGTAAGGCGGATCTGGATGGCTGCATGCGTCGGCCTCAAGATCAGCACCCAATAGCGGCATTCCGCTTCACCCTATCAAAAATCAGTACAATTAAGAAAATTGTTGTATTTGCTTTTATCACTGTTTTTATTGCTAAGGTTATTGTTTTCGTGTTGTTGTTGTTTTGATTTTAACATTACTATTGTTGCTGACATTGCCTTTCAACTGGAGAGCACAGGATCTCCCGTGCCAATGGCACCACAGTGATTGATGCCATCAACGCTGGTCAACAGTCGGAGCCTTGCAAATGCTATGGGGTTTGCAAACACTAGGGGTGCCTTTTTGGGAGTCCACATAATAAGGCTTATAGTGTTGATGGGTTTGCATGTAGTAGTTTCCATTTTATCTTTCCCTATAACCCCTTTTTCTCCTCCATCTAGCCTCTTATGGGGTCCCCTGTACTTTGCAAACTACCCTATCCTCTCATGTGCCTTCCGTTTCCTCGCGGCAGTTGCATCATAAAAGATTGATACAGCCCTTGAGAGTGGTAGCAATGTAGCATGACAACTTGCCCTAAACCTTTAAACCTTTTCTATCCAGTTGCGTGCGGTCTCCGAAGGCCAAAGGTCCTGGACGTGTTGCGGGCCAAGTGGGAAAACGGCATCGATCGATTCATCAAAAAGGAGCTGGAAGGGTTTACGAGTTTAGGGTTTAGGCCTTTAAGAAAAGTCATCCCCCTATACTTCCTAACAAGGACCTCTAGAAAACCTTCATGCTCCCGATGCCCCGTTTAGAGCCCTTTGGGGTGGCAGCGGCTAATGCTTGTTCCCCTGCTGATGATATGGTAGTTTACCAACAAAGGGGGGGATCCTACTATAGACGACACGATACCGCAATCCGTCTCCTGGGACCCCTTATTTTGGGAAACCTTCTCATATGTCAGCTTTCCGCCGCTTTCCCTCCCGCGATTCTGGACGCTGACATGATCTTAAATGACTTCTACTACCAGGACTCCTGAGTCTCCTGGTGCCCCTGAACCCTACGACTGTTACTGCTACTTCTACTGCTGCTGCTGCTGCTGCTACTATTACCACCACTACTACTACTGCTATTGCTGCTGCTACTACT